TGTCATCAATCTTTCCCTGGACTGGGAGCTTCTCCACACAGTAACCTCGAGTCCGAAGGACACGCTGTGCTCCTGGCGCCGCTTTGTTGGTGGTATGAGGTCCCACTCTTTGCCTGCTTCCCTTTCCTTTTCTCTCTCTGTCTCAGTCACCTAGTGCTGCTCCAACAGAAATACCACAAGTGGACGGCTTCAACAAAGAGAAATTTATTCTCTCACAGTCCAGTAAGCTGCGAGTCCAAATTCAGGGCATCAGCTCCAGGAGAGGGCTTTCTCTCTGTCAGCTCTGGAGGAAGGTCCGTGTCATCAGTCTTCCTTTGGTCTGGGAACTTCTCAGCACAGGAACCTCAGGTCCAAAGGACGTGCTCTGCTCCCAGCACTGCTTTCTTGGTGGTGTGAGATTCCCATGTGTCTCTGCTCGCTTCTCTCTTTTATATCTCAAAAGAGATTGCGTTAAGACACTATCTAATCTTGTCAACCTCATCAGTATAACCTCGTCACAGTGATAGAGTTTACAACACATAAGGAAATCACATCAGATTACACAATCATGCAACACTGGGAATCATGACCCAGCCAAGCTGACAGATGTTTTTAGGGGACACAACTCAATCCATGACACTCTCGTAAGATAAAAGGTGGTGCAGGCTACATCCCAGGGAAACTCCCTTTACATTGGATCAGGGATGTCACCTTAGTAAGGGTGTTACAATCCCACCCTAATCTTCTTTAGCATAAAACTACAATCACAAAATGGAGAACAGCCACACAATACTGGGAATCATGGCCTAACCAAGTTGACACATATTTTTGGGGGACACAATTCAATCCATGACACCAGCAAAACAGCATTTTAACACAAGAAGGTAATGACCAGTGTTAGTTACCTAGTGCTGCCGTAACACAAATACCACAAATGGGTGACTTTGAGGAACAGACATTTATTTTTTCACAGTTCTGGAGTCTAGAAGCCCAAATTCAGGACGTGGTTCTAGCGGAAGGTGCTTCCTTGTAGATTTCAGCTTCTGGAAATCCTTTTAAATGCACCTGTCTCTGCCCTGTCTTCCTCTTCCCCCCGTGTGTGTCTCTGTGTCTGTTCTGCTGTTTTTACAACTCAGAAGCGATTAGATTTAGAACCCATCCTACTCAAGTCTGACCGACTTAACAAAGCAAATCCTATTTCTGAATGGGGTCATATTTACAGGTATTTCTTTTTTTCTTTTTTCAGTTGCCATTGAGTCAATTCTGACTCATGGTGAGCTTGTGTGTCAGAGTAGACTGGCTGATTTTTTTGGAAGTAGATTGCCAGCCCTTTCTTCTGAGGTGCCTCTGGGTGAATTCAAACTGCCAACCTTTTGGTTAGTAGCCAAGCACTTAACCATTTACGCCACCCAGGGACTCCTACTTACAGGTATTAAAAACAAACAAACAAAAAAAAAAACCCTGACCCATTGCAGTCAAGTCAATTCTGACTGGTTTTCTTGGCTTTGATCTTTATGGAAGCAGATCGCCAGGCCTTTCTTCTGTGATACTACTGGGTAAGTTCGAACCACGGATATTCCGGTTAGTAGAGTGCAAACTGTTTACAACACCCAGGGATCTCTATTTACAAATTTAAGGACCAGGATTTCAATACATATTTTGCGGGGGGGGGACACAATTCAGTCCATAACATGAACCTTCCCAAAGACCTGGCCACAAGCATACAGAGCTTGGGAAAGTTCCCCTGGCCCGGCAGCCTCTGTGGCCGTCATTTCCTGCTGCGCTTACGTTTTCTGGGTAGGCTCCAAGGAATCTGTGCTTCCTTAATAAGGGAATGTGGAAACCACGCAGTGGGCGTCAGCGGCTGGGCCAAGGCCGTCACAAGGCCAAGTGTGGGCAGGCCTGGACTGTTCAGCCCAAGATCAAGGTGCCAGTGGCTTCTTCTGCCAAGACAGCCCCGCTTCAGAGCACGAAGCCCAATTACCTAAATAAACACAGGTTGTAAGGAGCGATTAACTTCAGTTTGTGCATTCAACAATAGCCAAAAAGTAAAAATTAAAATGGTTGACTATCTTGTTATCACATGTATTGAGGACCGGGCGTAGCTTGCCGGGAAGAGAGGGTGCAAACAAAATCAACCTGGGAGGGGAAAAAAAAAAATCACTTAAAAAAAAAAAAAGATCCTGCCAACAATCCAGAGCTCAGTGCCAACAAGGATATGGCCAGACCCGACCCAGGCCTGAATTGCCTTGGACGGCTTCCTGAAGACACACTGCTTCCCTTCGCTCTCCCCACGACGAATTCTTTCACTCCAAAATGTGCAAATCCGTGCCCACTGTGAATCACCGGCTGGTTGCAAGACCTTCTGGCCAGAGCGGATTATAGTCTTGTAACTGGGAGATACTTTGTTTCTCTGTGAATCTTAAAGACTATGCTCAGGCATATATATATGTGTCCTTAAAGCTCTAAGAAAACGTAAGGTTTCTGGGGCACTCTCAGACAGTTTTGGCACACGCGTGAATCGGTACAGCTTTTCTGGATAAAAGTTTGGCAGTGCGTATCAAAAGTCTTGGTGGTTCGGTGGTAGAATTCTCATCTCCCACTCGGGAGGCCCAGGTTCAATTTCTAGCCAACGGACCTCGCGTGCATTAGTTTCGAAGTTAACTTTTCCTGTTAACTTTTATTATTGCTCTTTATAGTCTGAAGAATCCCTGAGTAGTGCAAACAGTTAATGCGCTCGGCTGGTAACCAAAAGGCTGGAGGTTCAAGTCCACCCAGAGCACCTCCGAAGAAAGTCCTGGTAATCTACTTCCCAAATCCCAGCTACTGAAAACCCTTTGGAGCACAGTTCTACTCGGACACACATGGGGTCGCCATGAGTCGGAATTGACTAATCAGCCACCGTTTTTTTTTTTTAACAAGGGTGTGAAATATGTTCACTGTGGTCTTAATTTGCATTTCCCTGATTACAGATCAGATTTTTTTCACATACAGGTTGTCCCTGTCAGGTTATGAGGAACCACACTTAAACAACCGTCAAGGGTTTTTTTGTACATCTTATCTTTAGTAATATGTACTGTATACAGTGTTACAGCTTGTAATTTGCTGATGTTATCCTTCCCAGGTGTTCACTTGCAGGTGTTCAAGTTTATGATTCACTGTTCAAAACACTGCCGTATAGCAAGCTATGGCCTGGTCTACAATGAAGTCGGTGTCTGTGTATTTTTTTTATGTATATATTAAAATACATCTGTAGGTTTATATATAATGTTTCCAACCCCTAAAGACAAATAATGATGGGATTTATAAAGATACTGATAATAAGAGGCAATAATAATGAAAACTAAAAAAAAAAAGAGAGGTATTCGACTTATGTGAGAACCAGCTCATGAGGGAGTCATTGGAATGGAGCCCCGTCGTGAGTCTGGGGCCACCTGCACGTACCAGATGAGTTTCCTCTTCTGTGAAATGCCCATTCTAAAAAATCACGTTGTTTGTCTTGTTTGTACTGATTTGCAGAAGCCCCAAGTCTCATTAATTACGTACGTTGAAAATGTCTCCCCGCCCCTTATGGTTTATCTTTTCGCTTTCTTCATGATGTGTTCCAGTGAACAGAGTTCTGAATTTTAATGTGGTTCAGCGTCGTGTACAATATCCGCAGAGGACAATCACACCAGCCCCTTGCTTTCGGCTCCCTGATGCTTGCAAAATAAAGTCCAAATTCTTGAACTAAGCATCCAAAGGCAATCTCAAACTTACCTCAATTACTTCTCCAACTATGACTTCCCTGCCCACACTCGCTTTTCCAGTGCGTGGTCAGCCCCCTACACCCATTGCCATCAAGTCCATTCCGACTCATAGCGCCCTATACGACAGAGTAGAACTGCCCCATAGGGTTTGCAAGGAGGGGCTGGTGGATTTGAACTGCCGACCTTTTGGTTAACAGCTGAGCTGTTAACCACTGCACCACCAGGACGACAGTCAGGCCCCTATCGCCCTCAAGTACTTCTAGTCCACTTGCCTTAGTGTTTATACATTTCCTTCTTGCCTGCCTCTCGTGGATTCATGCTCCATGACCAAGCCCCTCTCCTCCATAAAGCCTCCCCTCAGCACTCCCATCCACAGCGCTCTCTCCTGCCTCTGACCCCAGCACCTCTCGTCTGGATCAGTCACTCACTGGCACGCAGTATCAGATACCGGGTCTCGCCGGCTCCATTGAAATGCAAGGTCAGGCTTGACAAAGCGCCTCATCCTCTGTAGATGCTCAACTAACATTTACCAATCGTGCTGACGTACCAGGGTGCTGGTGGATCTATTATGGAAAACGCATCCTTGTGTTTATTAGTTCATTTTGTTCATTCATTCACTCATTCATTCATCAGTTATGTATTGGGCTGCTACCATGTGCCAGGGAGTGGGAATTAAATGGTGAACAAGACAGACATAGCCGCTGCCGTCCTGGAGCTTCTGTCCATACAGGGGAGGTGGATTCTCAATCCAGTTGAATATGATGAGTAATAAGCGTCGTAAAAGAGCCGAGAGCCTTCATTCAAGGTTCTACATGTTTTATCTGCTCCGTGTGTAGCACTGGCTACATAATTTGCCAGGCTCAGTGCAAAATGAAAATGCAGGGCCCCTTTTTCAAAAATATTTAAGAATTTCAAGATGACAACGGCAGAGCATTCCACCGAGCTCAGGGCCCCCTCCTAAGCACATGCCCGTGAAACCGGTTCTCTCTGTACAGCACTGAGCCCACCTGGGGTGCTTGATGGGACAGACAGAAATCAGAAGGACTGCCTCCGTGTGCTTTTAGCTCAGTGTATTTTCACGGGTCGGAGCTGATCTCAGAGCTGTTCAGTCAGTGGCTGAGCTGACAGTGGAAAGGCTCACTTTGTGGTCCGGAGCGACTAGGAGATCTTGTGTGGATAGATCCAGCTTGAACACAGAAAACCCCACTGATTACATGGTGGGCATATAGGGACTGCGACATAAAGCTCTTGTTGATGTGTTCTGCCTTTCAGACTGCTTGTCTTACTCCGCGTTGCAAGTGTTATCCCGGAGATGCTATGGGAAGCAGAGATGCAAAATCATCGTCAACAATCACCACTTCGGAAGCCCCTGTCTGCCGGGAGTGAAAAAATACCTCACAGTTACCTACGCGTGTGGTAAGAACACACCCTCCACCAGCTGCTTGAAGGCCTGCCTCTCTGGGGGGATGTAATCAGGGGGAACAGGAACAACATGCCCAAAGAGTTTGCAAGCAACAAACCAGGCAACTGTATCCCGAAACTGTTTTGTCATCCCAGATATTCATGAGCCCTTTTTGTCTATCCTTGTTTATGACGTTCTCATCAGATAAGCGACCGAATTTTCTTTGGTCAAAATTTGTTTTGAAAGCGCTTTTAGCAATCAGATTGGCAGCAAACGAGGAAGTAAGAAAAGAACAAGCAAATGGAAGTAAAATTGGTATGACTGAGCATAGGGGTCTTAATCTGGGTTCTTAGGAGGTTCCAGAATTTATTGGTATGTATGCGAGTTCACCAGGGTATTGTCTGGCTCCCATGTAACCTCCCAGCACTACTTTTAGGCCCGAAATGACTAACTGTTTAGGCTGCCAAGAGCTAGTTTATCTTATACCCACAGTGCTGAGTCAACAGATCAAATGCTTATCCTAAAACAATTAAAAATGTTACATGACAGGGTTACTTTGTTTTTCTAGTGTCTTTAAATACTAAAATGAATGCCTGGGTCATTTAGATCCGGATTTCATGAAGCTGCTTAAAAATGAATCAGCAGTTAATTATTTTTTGAGGGTGATGTGGGGGACCAGTCTGTACTCATGATATGCCGACTGTTTTTAGAAATGAACAGAAAAACAAAGGGAAAGCAAAGGACACCATAAATGAAGGACCTGATCTGCTCTTGGAAACCCCTTTTTCCCCTGCCAGACATCCCTGGCCTTTTTTTTTTTTTTTCTTTTGTAAACACTTTATTGAGATATAATTCACATACCATACAATTCACCCATAAAGTGCACGATTCAGTGGTTTTTAGTGTATTCAGTTATGTAACCATCACCACAGTCAATTTTAGGACAGTCTCATCACCCCAAAAAGAAACCCTGTATCTTTTAGCAGTCACCTCACAATCAACCGTCCCTGCCCTCCAGCCCCTAGGCAACCACTAATCTACTTTTGGTCGCTATGGACTTTGCTATTCTGGACATTTCATATACACAGAATCATACGCTATGTGGTCTTTTATGACTAGCTCCTTTCGCTTAGCATATGTTTTGAAAGTTCACCCATGTTGTAGCACACATCAGTACTTCACTCCTTTTTTACAGCTGAATAATATTCCATTATACCTCCAGCCTTTGATAGTCTGAATTAAAACATTTGTCCTCTGCAATACCAATGCTGTAATAGGTACAATGAGGTGACTACAAGAAGGCATCTTCACAGCCACATCACCCACACTGAAATTACAGGAAGGATTTTTTTTTTTTTGGCTCTTTCAGTCTTTATTCCTGCAACTCTGTCTAAGCAGCTGTGGGTAGCATTGAGCTCATTATGGCCGAGGGTCCCCTAGAAGCCAACACTGATTGCTCTGAAGTTCCAGTAACTTCAGGCCTCTTCAGCTGATGGTTGAATGAGGAGCGGAGCATAAGCCTGAGAATGAGGTGAATTTTCTCGTGTGCTTTCGAGGCTGAGACGAGAGCAGTTACGAGGGCTGTGGCGTTTCTTAGCTAATCCTGAGAAGACGAGCATTCAGGGCCTGGAAGTCACATGCCCTGGTTTGAGCTTCCCTTCCCTCGTTCACTCATTCAGCACCTTGTGGGCATTTTCCGTGTGTCGGGGGCCATGCCAGGTGCTGAGGATTCAGCAGTGAACAAAAAGACATGATCTTCGCCTTCATGCACTAAGAGTCAGATGAGAGAGGTCGACGTGAAACTAGTAACCAGACAAATCTATTGTCAAATTGCGGTAAGGGCTGTTGAGGAAGAGCCGACACTGTAGAGGGTAACAGTGGGTGAGGCCCTAATGTAGCTTTGGGGAGGTGGTTTGAGAAGCTGTCTAAAGAGAACCTTTCTCTGCGGTCAGCATTCATCTGTGCACGCTGAGGGATGGACGGGTGTGAGCCGGGCAGAGAGAGGGCAGCAAGGCAGCCAGCCCACCCAGGGGTGCTGAGAAGGGGTGGGGTGGGCAGAGGGGCAGCCAGCCCACCCAGGGGTGCTGAGTAGGGGAGGGGGTGGGGTGGGCCAGGAGGAAGATGGCATGAGGTGGCCCTGGAGAGGGGTCAGGGCCAGATCCTGCAGGGTCTTGGGAGAGGGTGCCTGTGGAGGGTTTCAGGGAAAGCTCAGATCTGATTCTTTAAATGATCACTCCAGCTGCAGGGTGGAGAATGGATTGGAGCAAGAGTAGAAGCAAGGAGACCGGTTAGAAGCCAACAAGTCTTTTTTACCACAACTTTTTTTTTCTTATTAAAAAGAAGGCAGCGCCGAGTAATGCTGACTTAGACCGGAAGAGTGCTGAAGGAAGTGGTAAAATCGGGTGGCTTGGGAACGATTTGCAGACTAGAAACAGAGACGCCGCAGCGACATGGCGCATTGGAAGGGCTGAGGTCTGGTTGAAGGTGGGGGGACAGAACGGACCTGTGATCAGAGAGGGAGAAGTTTCTCTTGTTCCAACAGGAGAGAAGAGGTCTGTGGGAATAGATGAAGGTAGATTTTGGAGTACCTATCGCAGGACCTCTGCTCTCTCCAAAAAAAATGCGTGAGATGAGGTCATCGGCTGTTGGGGGGCGGGGAGAGGGGCCTGAGGAGGTGAGAGAAGGTGTGACGTCTCGGCTGTGGCGGGCAGGAGGGCAGGCTGACTTGAGAACCCCAGGAACGTTGCTGGGTGGTATTTGGAATTAGGGTTTTCATCATTGTGTTAATTAGAGCATACGTGAGTAGGGTAGATTCTAAACTGAATCACTTCTGAGTCATAAAAAGAGTAGACGAGACGTGAGGTGCACACTACGGGGAGAAGGACGGGTAACATGTATGGATCACTCACAAGCTGAGGAACCGAGGAACAGCCCCAGGCCACCGATCAGGAGGGAACAGACACAGCCGAGACCTTGATCTGAACTTGTAGCCTCTAGTACTGTGAGAAAATACATTGCTGTTCTTTAAAGCCACCCAAAACCAAACCCGTTGCGTCGAGTCAGTTCCGACTCATAGCAACTCTGTAGGACAGAGTAGAGCTGCCCCATAGGGTTTCCAAGGAGGGCTGGTGGATTGGAACTGCTGACCTTCTGCTTAGCAGCCGAGCTCTTAACCACTGTGCCACCAGGGCTCCTTAAAGCCACCCACTTGTGGTATTTTTGCTGCAGCTGTGGTGGCAGCTGAGACTTGGGATTTCCATCACACGCAGCCTGGTTAGTCTACAGAGCTCGTCCTAGAATGCCTTTCGCCTTTGAGCACCTCCTAGGTGACATCCTGCTTCCTTCTTGAACTGTAAAGCCTCTGGCATTCTCAGAGACCCAACGCCCTCCTCAGGCCATGTGTTGAGAGCGAGCCAAGAGATAGACATGAGAAAGAAGTGGCACTACTGGCAGGGAGAGAGGATGCACCCTGGACTTAGTACCGCCAAGAAATCAAGGCTGTCCTTCTCTGGGGCCCAGAATGATGGAGAGGCTGTTTAATTAGAAAGCATTTCGTGGCTGCACAGCTCAGCTCCCTGGGGCGCTGCCATGGTCCCCGGATCAGCTGTGTGCCCGCGGTCAGCCAAGGGCCCTCCTCAGAGCCCCAGACAACCTCAGCTGCCTTGGGCATCTTCACTGTGCTTCCCTGGAAAGCGGCTTTGTGCCAATGGGCACAAAGGTGCCAGGGCCTCCTGCATGTGGAAAATGAACAATTCAGGAATGTTCTCTGGTTGTTGATCCTGGGACATCCCCAAAGGAATTTAATTATGCACTTGTAGAAAGGAAACGAGGTCTTCTTGCTGCTGAAAATCTCTTACCAGCTCTTTCTTAAAAATCAGTTGGCCTCACAAGTGCAGTTGAACTAACACGATTTGTACTGGCTTCGCCTCTATTTGCTGTTACCGTTTCTCCCACATATCAGCTAGGCTGGAATACAAACAAAAATAAGCACTTTGTGCAGCAAAAACATCGGTTTCCCCTCCCTTCTCCCAGCCTGCTGCAGTGTGCTTGGCCTTCAGAATTTCACCGGGCTCTCCCTTTTACCTGGTCCTCTCATCTGCTGTCTGCTCTGCCTGGGGGATCCAGAGATGAGCGTGGTTTATTCTTAAGAGTCAGCTCGGCAGAAACTGTAATCGTTTTTTAAATGAACCTATAATGCTGCCTTCCACTCCTCATCCTTCTGTAGTACTTTTTAAATAATATTTAGAAAACCAATCTCGCATGGAGTCTTCCAAATTCTCTTTGGACTTGTTATGCAAGCAAGGATGCAAAGAGCGCTGGGCACAAAGCAGAGTAGGAGCTGGTGAATATGCTGTACGGTGAGTTTTGCGTTAGTTGCAGTCATCGTGATTTACTACGGCTCAGGGAAGTTCATGCTCGGAGTTAACACATTTAGTGAGATATTATTTACATCCTTAAAATTCACCGTTTTTGGTTTAAACATAGAAGAAGACATTCTTTGATGGTTACGAGGATGGGGAGGGAGGGAGAGGGGAATTCACTAACTAGATAGTAGACAAGAATCATCTTAGGTGAAGGGAAGGACAACACACAATACGGGGAAGTCAGCACTACTGGACAAAACCAAAAACGAAGAAGATTCCTGAACACAACTGAACACTTTGAGGGACAGGGTAGCTGGGGCTGGGCCCTGGGGACCATCGTTTCAGGGGACATCTAGGTCAACTGGTATAACAAAGTTTATTAAGAAAATGTTCTACATCCCACTTTGGTGAGTGGCGTCTGGGGTCTTAAAAGCTTGTGAGTGGCCATCTAAGATGCATCAATTGGTCCAATCCACCAGGAGCAAAGGAGAATGAAGAACACCAAAGACATAAGGAAAATATTAGCCCAAGAGACAAAAGGTCTACATAAACCAGAGACTCTATCAGCCTGAGACCAAAAGAACTGGATGGTGCCTGGATACCACCAATGACCGCCCTGACAGGGAAAATAACAGAGTCCCTGACGGAGCAGGAGAAAAGTGTGAAGCAGAACTCAAATTCACGTAAAAAGACCAGACTTAATGGTCTGATTGAGACTGGAGGAACCCCCGAAGCCATGGCCCCTGGATGCTCTGTTAACTCAGAACTAAAACCATCCCTGAAGCCCAATCTTTAGACAAAAATTAGACTGGATTATAAAACAGAAAATAATACTCATAAAGAATGTGCTTCATAGTTCAATCAGATACATGAGACCAAATGGGCAGGATGAGAAGGCAGGAAGGGACAGTAGCTGGTTGAATGGACACGGGAAATCCAGGGTGGAAAGGCGGAATGTGCTGTCACCTTATAGGGATTGCAGCTAATGTCACATACCAGTATGTGTATAAATTTTTGTGTGAGAAATTAACTTGAGCTGTAAACTTTCATGTAAAGCACACAAAAAAAATTCACCACTTTTAAGTGAATGCAATTAAATGGCGTTTTGTGCAGCCATCACCACCCTACAATTTTAAACATTTCCATGACCCCAGAAGGTCCCCCGTGCCCGTCTGCAGTCACTCTGTCTTCCCACTGCCAGCCCCTGGCAACCAATGATCCGCTTTCTGTCTCAATAGATTTATTTATTTATTGGACATTTCATATAAATGAAATGATACAGTATCTTTTGTGGCTAGCGTCTTTCACTGAGCATGTTGTTTCTGGGGTTCCTCCACGTTGTAGCAGATACCAGTGCTTGCTTACTTTTCGTTGCTACATAGTGTTCTAGTCGATGGACATGCCACAGTTTATCCATTCTCCACGTTGTTACTTTTTTTAATACTGTAAAATGGGTCTAAAATTTCACCTTTCTGGAACATTTGATGGTCACAGATACTATTGGGGTGTGTGTGTATGTGTGTGTTTCAGTGTATCTGACAGGTACTGATTTGAAAAGTGATTTTTTAAAATCTTACCTACATTGCATTTAAAAAAGTATATTGATGTATACATTTTTTAAATGTACAAAGTATTTAGAATATTTTCTTTTTGGTTTTTAGTTCCCAAGAACATCCTCACAGCGATTGATCCAGCTGTTGCTAATCTAGAACCTTCTTTGAAGAAGAAAAATGGTGAATACGGTAACTTTTATGGCTCACTTCTAGCATTTCTCTTTAAGTAAAGGTAAAATGGGGCCATAGTTGGGCACACTTTGGTTAGAATAAAGGGAATGTCAGGAAGTGTGTTCAAGCTACTGCTTCTGGGTGATGAAAATGTCATGGAATGGTGGCAAATGGGGGCCAAGATCTTGTTTTGTTTTAAATCACAAGTAGAAGAAACCTCCCTTCCAGCTCTGCTTGCTTCTTAAAAGAAAAATCACTTTGAAAAAGAGATGTGCTCTGAAGTAGATTTGAGATTCCTGAATTATACTATAAGCTTGTTGGTAAAGATGTTCCCATTGAGACCCTGGGTAGACCTGGCCCAGGCTGGACCTGCAGGCTCGTATACATGGGCCACCTTCTTCCTTAGTCTTTGGCTCAACTGTCTTTAAAAGGGGTATGAACATTTTTATTTTCGTATCACATCTAGGGAGCCCAGTGGCACAGTAGTTAAGAGCTCAGCTGCTAACCAAAAAAAGGTCAGCAGTTTGAATCCACCAACTGCTCCTTGGAAACCCTATGGGGCAGTTCTGCTCTATCCTATACGGTCACTATGAGTCGGAATTGACTCGACAGCAACCAGCAGCAGGAACATCATCACATCTAGAACGGAATTCATACCCGTGGGGTTCGTGATAGAAATTGCAAAGACTCAGTAGAACACCTAAGATATTGAGCTTTAGGTTATGAGAGTTTTGTTTTGTGTTACTTTTATTGTTTTTATTATGTCTTTTCCCCATAAGTATAAAAATAAAGTATGGCTGATGTGGAAAACACAGGAAAGCAGAAAGAAATGTAACCTCCCCGCAATCCCACAGTTTAGAGGGGACATTCAGTAATGTTCTTGTATGTTCTAGTTCACCATCCAGCTCTCTACCAGGCTCTGCATCTCTTAGTCCCACTTCTCTTTCTAAGAGGGCTCCCACCCACAACCCTGACAATATCCTGGTCCCCCTGGAGTGGGGCCTGAGAGCTCTGTGCCATTCTTCCTCGCAGGCAACCTGTCCTGTCTGACACTCCCAGGGATCCCCAGCACCCTGAGGCTGCCCTATCATGAGCTCACAAATCTCCCCGTAACCAGATGCTCCAGGCATCTGAAACCAGAGCTGCCCTCATTTTGATGTCATTTTCAAAAAAGTAAACTAATACCACCTCTCTCCGTAATTCGATGTTTGTCTTATTTGTGGTCAACAGTGCAGACACGAGCTCCAGGGTTAAAGTGAGAGATGTTATTAAGCCCCCCAGAAGCATGATGAAGCTATGGATGTCTTTGCCTTAGGATGAGGAAATAAATTTGTTCCCTTCTGCTGTGGGGTGGATGGGTGGAGCTAACAATCAGCACCTGAAATTGTAACCAACTCTTTTTTAGAATATCTAAATCTCTTTTATCACTTAATATTCTCAGGGACTACTTACTAAATATTCTTCCTGGCTTCGTTTTCCATAATTTAGTCCAAGGCCCACTTGTTTGATATCTGTTGCTTTTTATTTATTATGGCAGTCCTGGAGCCATAAGGGTATCTTAGGGCAGGTGTAACTTTGAACAGCTCTGATTAATTGGTCTTTTATTTTTACACAACAGGTATAAACTTTGACCCAAGTGAATCGAGTGTTCTGAGGAAAGACGGTGTCATTTTTAGCAACTCTCTGGCAGCATTTGCTTACATTAGAGGTACGTCCTAGAATGCTAATGGATTTACTAAAGTCTAATTAACCAATGCACTGTTTAATGACAATATGCAAGCTCAGATAATAAAGAAAAATGACTTCAAGTTTGACATGGCAATTGAAGTCTTCTAAGAACCACCAAAAAAAAAAAACCATTGCCATCGAGTCAATCCCAACTCATGGCAACCCTAGAGGACAGAGTAGAACTGCCCCATAGGGTTTCCAAGGAGCAGCTGGTGGATTTGAACTGCCAGCCTTTTGGTTAGCAGCCAAACGCTTAACCAAGAGCCCTGGATTTAGGTACAGTTCCAACCAGGCTAGCAGCAAGAGAACCACGCAAGGAGGCGGTAAACAGATAAAGTCACACAGTTCAGAAGTTGTGCGGCGGTGGTGGGTCAGTGGTGGAACTCTCGCCTTCCATGTGGGAGACCCGGGTTCAATTTCTGGCCAGTGCACCTCATGCGCAGCCACTACCCGTCTGTCAGTGGAGGCTTGGTTGTTGCTGTGATGATGGACAGGTTTCAGCAGAGCTTCCAGACTAAGACCAGGAAGAAAGGTCTGGCAATTTACTTCCAACAGATCATCCAGGGAGAACGCCATGGTGATTCACACCGGTCCAGTCCACAGCCAACCGTGAGAATGGTACGGGACCGGGCAGCATTTTGTTCCGCTGTGTGCGGGGCTGTGAGGCATTGGAGCCGACTCAACAGCGTCTAACAACATGGAGGAGTCAAACGCTCCAGGAATTCTCCCCGCTGTAAAACAGGAATCCGAGGAATGTACTTACTAGCTCTAACATTTGGGAAGGGCATAGGTTTATTCAATTCCACCCCTGACTGGAAGAAAAATAAGCCGAGAGATGGTTTAGTCAACAAAACAGGTCATGCCCTGTGCAGGCAGTGATTTTCTGAGTCATCAGTGTTACTGCTCCTGGTTGCCAAGGTCTCCCTTGCTAATCTACCCCCCAACGATCAATCAGACTCAGCCCTTCTTAATTACAGAGCCACCAGGCTCGCAGGCAGACTGGTCCTGCTGCAGATCCTCTTCAGTCAATGACAGATGGCGCACACAGTCCTTCCTCGCCACCCCCTCGGCTCGCCTTAAGACCGGCCCACACGTTGGCCAGTTACAGCGGCGAGTTTCAGCAATGCCCGGCTCTGTTCAGGAAGACAGGAGCCTCTGAGAGCTTTTGTAAAATGCACGTTAATATAATATATATAATATATAGCAGTGTACTATTTGAGGCTTGCTCCTTGAAGGAGAATACAGGCTTAAGGCGCCATGTCCATGCCGGAGATAGAGCAGACAGTCTTGGCTTGCTGTACCAGCCCACGGTCGCCCATACTCGCCCTGTCGGCAGGACTGTGGTTCTGGCTTCCCGCTGTGGATCCTCTTTCCCAGTCACCCCTGTTTCCATGTTTCCATCTCTAGCTCTTCATTCCCACCCTGCTAATTGTCAAAGTTAAGACAATCGAGTTGAATGTGAAAGGACCTTTCCCCAGGTCAGGCTGAAAGTAGCTCTGATACATTGCAGCAGCCCAGTGTGCATGGGGGAGAGAGACGGGAACCCACAGTTGTCCTGGGTGTTGGAACACAGAGGCTGGCTGAACGGACACAGGACTCCCGAGGGTGTCTGATGATGCTTTTCTCTTTTGATCGTTTAAATGATCTGTGAGATTGTTTTCCTGAAATGAGGCCCCTTCTTAGAGGTGTTTGAATTTACCCTTATTTCAGTAATCAGACCTACTCCTTACATTTACTATCAAATCTAGGTCAGGGGTCTGAAAACTGATAGAAAACTTATGAAATTAGAGAAATGGGAAAGGAGGGTCGTGTGTATGTGTATGTGTGTGTATATGTATGTGTATGTGTGTGTGCATATACATGTGTGTGTATGTGTGTATGTATGTGTATATGTGTGTGTATGTGTGTGTGTATGTATGTGTATATATATGTGTATATGTGTAGGTATGTGTGTATGTGTGTGTATATATGTGTATATGCATATTGTGTATATGCGTAGGTGTGTATGTGTGTGTATGTATGTGTATATGCATATGTATGTGTGTATGTGTATATGTGTACGTGTGTGTTTATATGCATATGCAAATGTATGTCTGTGTCTGTGTGTATGTGTCTGTGTGTATATGTGTGTATGTATGTGTATATGCGTATGTATGGGTGTATGTATATGTATATGCATATGGATATGTGTGTATGTATGTGTGTGTATGTGTATACGCATATGTATGTGTGTATAGTGTGTGTGTGTATGTGTGTACGTGTATATATGTGTATGTATGTGTGTATATGCGTGTGTGTACATGTTAAGTGTGTGAATGTCTGTAAGTGCGTGTGTGTGCTGGGGGTTCTTAGGAAGGCAGTTATGAGCTGGTTCAGTATGGGCTGCTATCTCCTGGCAGACTGGCCCCTAAAGTGACTTATTGATACAGTCTTCCCTCAGAACTTGATGTCTCCTAAAGATGTCTTTAAAGCTCTAAAAAACAAGATGTCACTTTGATGACTAACGTACGTCGGATCCAAGCCATAGTCTTTTCAGGCAAAAGCTGGACAATGAAACAGGAAGACAAGGATTGATGCGTCTGAACTGTGGTGTTGGCAAAGAATGTTGAATATACTGTGGACTGCCAGACAAACAAACAAATCAGACTTAGAAGTGAGGATGTCGAGACTTTGGCTCGCTTACTTTGGAAGCATCATCAGGAAAGACCAATCGCTAGAAAAGGACATCGTGTTTGGAAAAGTAAGGGGTCAGTGAAAATGAGGGAGACCTTCCATGAGATGGAGCAACACACTGGGCACAACAATGGCTCAAACATCCCACGGGTCATGAAGATGGTGCAGGACTAGGCAGTGTTTCGCTCAGTTATACATAAGACGGCCGTGAGTCAGAGCTGACTTAATGGCAACTTACAACAACAAATTCTACTTAGCGCTTTATTGACATCTGGCTGTGTGTGTTTACCTCACATATGCCTGCAGGCTGGTCTTTGGAAGCCTGATTTCTTGTCACTGTCCCCGCCCCTTGGGACTGTGACAAGTGGTGTTTTCAGCTTCTGGCAGACCCTGCGTGGACTTTGGGCCGTGTGGAGTAACTGGGTGCCATGGGTGGAGGAGCCAAGGCAGAAGGGGGCAGGTTTGCTGCTGCTTCTGAGTCGGGTAGGCACCATTGTTTTATATGAAAAGAACTCCGGGCTATCAGACAAACTCATACTGACACAGAAGTATAAAAACACATTCCAAGTTGGTGAGGACAATTGGAAATCAGCACCACCTTGTCACATAGATTTGAATTCCCTGAGTTCCCACGGTCTCCAGTCTTTGGTTCCATGACAAAAAGTTAAATTATTATCACGTCCCTAAGTGCTGTCAGACTTTGTGCTCACATCTGGGGGGCCCTCTGGCCCTCGCCGAGCCCGGATTCTCCCGGCACCAGCAGTGTCCAGGACGGGGGACCCTTGCCTGGGCCTCTTGGTGCCCTATTTGGCCATGAACAAGTTTGACCTGGAGCTTGTGTTGGCCACCGACCTGGGATCTGAGGGTTGAAACGAGTCTTGAAGGCTACTGACCACCATTCTGAGGTTCCCTAGGACGTACCCGATAAAATACCGATCAAGTGAAAGTCCTTCACTCTAGCCTGCGATGAACGAAGGCTAAATAACAGCCAGAACGAAATGTGCACACGTGGGGTCGCCTGGGGTCAGAACTGACTCTATGGCAACAAACAATGACAACAACATTCTGAACTAAAAGGGAAAAGCGTTAACCCTGTTCCTAACCTCACAGTCTAGAGGCAGAGACATACAAGGGTCGCAATGGCCACAGTGGGGAAGATGGATTGAAAGGGGCAAGGGAGGAGGCAGGAGACCCATTAGGAGGCGGGAAGGATGGTGAAGAGCAGCGTCATCGTTCCTGGTTTTCAGATTAGTAATCTAGGTCCAAAGACACATCAACGAGGTGGAAATACAAGCTCTCACCAGGAGATGACATTCATAATATATATGCGGTCCAAGGACTGCTATCAAGAATACATAGAAAATACACCTGTTTTTATACATAAGAGGAAAAGCACAACAGCCCAGTAGAGAAAATGGGAGACAAGAACCAGCATTTTGAGAAGAGGAAATGCATAAACATGTGAAGAGATGTATAAGAAATTTGTGATCAAGGAAATGCAAACCAAGGCTGTAAAAAAACAAAAACTAACCCTGTTGCCAGTGGAGTTGATTCCGACTCATTGCGACCCTATAGGACAGAGCAGAACTGCCCCATAGGGTTTCCAGGGTGAGCCTGGTGGATTCGAACTGCCAAGCGTTTGGTTAGCAGCCATAGCTCTTAACCACTAAGATACAAATTTACACCCATTTGATCGGAAACGATTTAAAAGTCTGTCAGTACCAAGTGCTAGAGAAGATGAGGATCCGTTGGAAAACTTCAGTGTTGTTTCTCGAGTTGAAATTCACGTACCCTAAAACCCACCCATTACCCTGCTGGGTCAGTGCCCAAGAAAGGTGTTTGCACATGTACACCACGGAGTTTACAGGAATGTAGAGGGCTGCAGTATCCACAACAGCAGAAATGGGCAACAATCCAAATGCCCGTCAGCAGGAGACTGAGTGAATAAACTATGGTATAGTCAAACCAATGGAATATTATACAGCACTCCAAACGAATGAAATATGTGGATGGATGCATCTACTCAATAGAGATGGATATTTGAAATAGACTATTAAGACAAAAAAAATTAAGGTTCCAAACAGCACTGTTGTTGGGTGCCATCAAGTCTGTTTCAACTCATGGCAACCTCATGTGATGGAGTAGAATGATCTTATAGGGTTTTCTAGGCTGTAATCTTTATGGGATCAGATTACCAGGTCCTTCTCCCACAGAGATGCAGGGTGGGTTTGAACTGCCAACTCTGCCAACTTCCAGTAGCAGCCCAGCACATACCCATCATGCCACCAGGGCTCCTTATCTGTAATGTTCTAACCTTTTAGTAAAGTTTCTAGGAATCCGTGGAGATGCAGTAAACTGCATTAAAAGGAAAGCAGGAGAAGAGTGAACATGGAATTAAGGGGGTGCTCACCTCGATGGGGGCAGGCTGGGAATCCCAGGTTAGCACAGGTTGTTCTCAAGGCCCTGATTTCCACATGAGGTGATGGGTCCAACTCGACAGCAATCGGCTTCTTAGGAAAAATATATTGTTATTAATAGCACTACAGACAACACTCCTAATAATCTGTCACTTCGTCCCCACCCCTGCCGAGAGCCCTGGTGGCACAGTGGTTAAGCTCTCGGCTGCTAACCAGAAGGTCTGTGGTTCAAACCCACCAGCCAGCCGCTCTGCAGGAGAAAGATATGGCAGTCTGCTTCCGTAAAGATTTACAGCCTTGGAAATCCTATGGGGGCAGTTCTACTCTGTCCTATAGGGTCACTATGAGTTGGGATCGACTTGATGGCAACAGGTTTGGTTTGGTTTTGCCCCTCCCCACCCTTCTACCAGCCAAAATAAATTTTGATTTAAGACTTCTCTCTCTTACAGACAACAATGAGATTGTACCAGTAGGGGCGGTTGTAACAAAGAAAAACATATTTGAGTCCGATGACTCTGCAGTTGACTTGAGCTGCAAGGGAAGGAAGCCAAATGGGGAGGTTTTGGGTTTCAAGAAGATAAGGTGTCCCAGTTAGATCTCTCCCGTCAGGTCATAGAGGTTGGGTCACTTGGCAGTACATGAAACTCAACAACTCTCAGGTTTTAAACTCAGTCTGGACTCTGGGGAGGGGCAGTCTTCATCTTTTACCTCTAGTGAAATGGGAGGGAGGCACCGTGCCTGGACAATCCGTGGGGTTGAGATATACTGAGGAGACGCCGTGGTAACAACTTTATACCCCTCGAGGGGCTGGGTTCCAGTCCTGGCTGTGCCTGAAGAGGCCAGCTGGTCTTGGGCAGTGGTGCCCCCTCTGGCCCTCAGCTTGGGCATCAGCCTCAGAGACCTGCAAACTGCAGCCCGTGGGCCAAAGCCAGCTCGCTCCTGATTTTGTGAATAAAGCTTTATTGGAACATAGCCATGCCCACTTTGTCTATGACAATTTTTGCGTTACAACACCATAGTTCAGTAGTTGCAACAGGGACCATATAGCCCACAAAGCCTAAAATATTTACTATCTGGCCATTTACAGACATTTGCCGATTCCTGATTTATATTACGAGGAAGTTAAAAACACCAAAAAACCAAATCCGTTGCCGTCAAGTCGATTCCGACTCATAGGGACCCTATAAGACAGAGTAGAACTGCCCCATAGGGTTTCCAAGGAGCAGGTGGTGGATTCGAACTGCCAACCTTTTGGTTAGCAGCCAAGCTCTTAACCACTGTACCACCAGGGACTCCACTGGATGTTATTTTCCAGAGTGTGGGTACAAACACCCCAAGGTGTACACAACCATACAATGGGGATAGTAATAGTCCTTTCTACACAGGATTAAATATATGTAAGAGTTAAGACCAGGGCCCATAAATGTACATTAACATAATCTTTATTTCTATTTTTTTGTTATATAGACAATTTTGGATGCAGGGAAAATCACTAGAGCTTTTATTTACATTTATTTTTCTAATCTAAAAATAAGAAAGAAATTAAGCTTTGCTAACACCTATGGTATTAGCACTCAAGATCACATATATATTTTATACATAAATTGAGTCTTCACAATCTCCTACTACTACTAATAGCTAACACTTCACTGAGCATGTACTGTGTCAGGGAGTGTTCTAAGAGCTTTACATGAATTAACTCATTTCATCATAAAAACTCTATGAACACAGTTCTGTTATCTCCATTTTACAGATGAGGAAACTGAGGCACAGAGAGGTTGAATAACTTGCCCCAAGTCATGTAGCTAGTGAGTGGCAGATCTGAGTTTGAACTCAGAGAATCTGGCTCTTGAGTCCCTGTGCTCTGTGTCTTCTTATATATGTACATATATTGGCTGTATGGAGCCCTGGTGGCAAAGTGGTTAAGAGCTCAGCTGCTAACCAAAAGGTTGGCAGTTCGAATCCACCAGCCGCTCCTTGGAATCCCTATGGGGCAGTTCTACTCTGTCGTATAGGGTCACTATGAGTTGGAATCGATTGGACGGCAATGAGTTTGGTTTTTTGTTTTTGGTTTATTGGCGCTATATCCTCAAAAACTTTTTTTTTTTTAAATCAAAAGGAATATCTGATTGGTAAGGTGTGGATGGTCTCATTGTGCTGTCCAGGACTGGCCTTCATATTAGCCTCCCACCTAGGCAGCCACCTGTGTGTGGCGGGGGGGACTCTGGGCTGGAGAAGACTGACAGTTCCCCCCAGCCCTGACATGTTCTCTTCCTCCTGCAGCCCACCCCGAGAGAGCCGCCCTGCTGTTCGTGTCCAGTGTCTGCATCGGCCTGGCCCTCACAGTGTGTGCCTTAGCCATCAGAGTGTCCTGCACCAAGGACTTCCACGAGCTGCAGCTGGGGAGGGAGCATCTGGTGCCAGGGAGTGACAAAGCCGAGGAGGACAGCGAGGATAAAGACGAGGAGGAGGGCTCCTCAGACTCTGAACTTCCAGGAGAACTGTCAGGGTTTTGTAGGACTTCCTATCCCATCTACAGTTCCATAGAGGCTGCAGAGCTAGCAGAAAGGATTGAGCGCAGAGAGCAAATCATTCAGGAAATATGGATGAACAGTGGTTTGGACAGCTCGCTTCCGAGGAACATGAGCCAGTTCTACGGAAAACCAGATGCATCTTGATGTGATCACACTTTCTGAAGAGGGAAGGATCCGGAATGCCCCTCCAGTTCTGTTTCACTTGTACCTTCTATGAAGGAGAATTTGTCATGTCATCCAAGACTGGTGAAGCCAGAAAGATGTTAAAACAGACATTTCGAATTGTTTACAGCACATTCCAAAATAAATTAGGGGGGAGGAAGTCTTTGTTTTCTGTATTTATTTAAATCCATGTCTGCACATTAACATAATTGGAGTTCACATTTATTGAGCACTTTTAATGCCAGGAACTGTTCTAGCTGATTTTCGTATATTAAGTCATTTATTCCTCACAACAACCCATGAGGTAGTACTAGTACCCCCATTTTACACATGAGAAAATGGAAGCTGTATATATCCATATGGGAATTAAATAGTGATACTCTGGACGGCAAACATGAGCTCATACACTACATGTTTGAGGTTGATGAGTTTTAATCACATTAGTTGTTTAGAGCCACGGTCAGCACTTTTTCTGTAAAGGGTGAGGTGGTAGATATTTTAGGCTTTGTGGGTCCTATGGTCTCTTTCACAGCTGTTCACCTTTGCTCTAGTACAGTGAAAGCAGCCACAGATGATATGTAAACGAATAGGAATGGCTGTGTTCCAATAAAGCTTTATTTATGGACACTGAAATTTGAATTTCATTTAATTTTCACACGTCACAATGCATTCTTTTTTTTTTTTAATTAACCATTTTAAAATGTAAAAACCATTCTTAGCTCCAGAGCTGTGCAAAAACAGGATGGATCTGGCCTGCCAACTATTATTATAAAGTATGGTCCACAAAGCCTAAAATATTTACTCTCTGGCCCATTACAGAAAAAAAATTGCCAACTCCTGGTTTAGAGTTCAAAACTGCAGACCTTCTGATGATAAAAGCAATTAACCAGATTACCCAGCATTCCCATGGGCAAAGATCAAGTGGAGTTAGCTTTCAAATAGTTGCAAGAAATGGGTTGTTCTATTTTTTTTTAATTGTGCTTTAGATGAAGATTTACAGAACAAATTAGTTTCTCATTAAACAATTAATACACATATTGTTTCGTGACATTGGTTGCCAGTCCCACGACACGTCAACACTCTCCCCTTCCTCAACCTTGGGTTCCCCATTACCAGCTTTCCTGTCTCCTCCTGCCTTCTCGTCCTTGCCTCTGCGCTGGTGTGCCCATTTAGTCTCATTTTCTTTTATGGGCCTGTCTAATCTTTGGCTGAAGGGTGAGCCTCAGGAGTGACTTCATTACTGAGCTAAAAGGGTGTCCGAGGGCCATACTCTCCAGGTTTCTCCAGTCTGTCAGACCAGTAAGTCTGGTCTTTTTTTGTGAGTTTCAATTTTGTTCTACATTTTTCTCCAGCTCTGTCCAGGACTCTCTATTGTGATCCCTGTCAGAGCAGTCGGTGGTGGTAGCCGGGCACCATCTGGTTGTGTTGGACTTGGTCTAGTGGAGGCTGTGGTAGTTGTGGTCCATTGGAGGTTATTCCATATTGAGGGGAGGGAGCTGGTGAGGAAGGGGAAGATACAGGAATTAAGGAGAATGAGCCTCCCGGTGGGAGAACTCAGGAGGAGTTCCTTTGGAAGACGCCCTGTGGTGGACAGGAGGCTCCTAGCCATGCAGTAGAGTAACAAAGGAACCTTCTTTTTTGCCCCAGTGGGGCTGAGGGAGGAGTCCCTGAGTGGTTGCAAAGAGTTAACGCACTTGGCTGCTAACTGAGATGTTGGAGGTTCAAGTCCACCCAGAGGTGCCTCAGAAGAAAGTCCTAGTAATCTACTTCCAAAAATTCAGCCACTGAGAACCCTATGGGGCACAGTTCTACTCTGACACACATGGGGTGGCTCTGAGGTGGATTTGACTCATTGGTAACTGGTTTGGGGCTGAGAGAATAAAAAATGATCATGTTGCATCTATCTCATATGCCTACTACAAATGAGTCCTCCCTGTCTTATCTTATTTAATCATCACATCAATCTTGCAAGCAGGCAAATGTGAACTCCACATTGTGGATGAGAAAGCAGAAGTCTGACAGGTTAAGTATTGAGCCCCAACTCCAAGAAAGTGCTGGCGCCGCCCCAGGCGTGCCACAATCAGGAAACCACAGCTGTTTGCTCAGGGTCCTGCAATGTGACAGATACCAGAGAAGGTGTTTCTCTTTCAGGTCCACAGGTCATGAGGGTGAAGGGCCCATCTGCATAAAGCAGAGTAGGGTGGGTGTGGACTGAGGAGGCTTCTCTCATCGACTGGCCCAGCTGTCCGAATTGGCGAGTTGTCTGTGGTATTTGAACAGCAGTGAAGCACACACAAAATGGCGGCCACTGGCAGAGTTGCTGAGAAATCCTGAGGTTCTCATTCAATGGACGGAAGGGGAGAATGAAGGTGTGCCAGAGATGACATCCCCTCTCCCCCACTTTGCCTTCGCCACTGGTCAGCGTCTAAGAGTGGGAGGGGAGGGAGGGTGGTAGGATGGTAGGAGGGGGTGCAGTATGGACAGGCTGGGGTGACTTGGGCAGAGACCACACCCTTCCACAGAATGCAGGGGATGACAAAAAGGTCGTGGGATCAGGGATGACATATTTTAAACCTGTCATTAGAGATTCTAGATCATGGCAGAGAATGAAGGGAGTGTGTCTTAGGCTGGGTTCTCTAGAGAAGCAAAATCAGTGCAGCATGTAAATATATATATATAAACCAAAACTAAACTCATTGCCGTTGAGTCAATTCTGACTCATAGCGACCCTATAGGACAGAGTAAAACTGCCCCGTAGGGTTTCCAAGGAGCAGCTGGTGGATTCGAACTGCCCAGCTTCTGGTGGGACCTGGCAGTCTACTTCTGAAAAGAATTAGGCAGTGAAAACCTTATGAATAGCAGTGGAACATTGTCTGATATAGTGCCAGAAGATGAGCCCCCCAGGTTGGAAGGCACTCAAAAGACGACTGGGGAAGAACTGCCTCCTCAAAGTAGAGTCGACTTCAATGACATGGATGGAGTCAAGCTTTCGGGACCTTCATTTGCTGATGTGGCATGACTCAAAATGAGAAGAAACAGCTTTAAACATCCATCAATAATCGGAACATGGAATGTACAAAGTATGAATCTCGGAAAATTGGAAATCGTCAAAAATGAAATGGAACACATAAACGTTGATATCCTAGGCATTAGTGAGCTGAAATGGACTGGTATTGGCCACTTTGAATCGGACAATCATACTGTCTACTATGCCGGGAATGACAACTTGAAGAGGAATGGCGTTGCATTCGTCAAAAAGAACATTTCAAGATCTATCCTGAAGTACAACTCTGTCAGTGATAGGACAGTATCCATACACCTACAAGGAAGACCAGTTAATTCGACTATTATTCAAATTTACGCACCAACCACTAACGCCAAAGATGAAGAAATTGAAGATTTTTTACCAGCTTCTGCGGTCTGAAATTGATCAAACATGCAATCAGGATGTATTGATAATTACTGGCGATTGGAATGCAAAAGCTGAAAACAAAAAAGAAGGATCAGTAGTTGGAAAATATGGCCTTGGTGATAGAAATGATGCCAGAGATTGCATGATAGAATTTTGCAAGACCAATGACTTCTTCATTGCAAATACCTTTTTTCACCAACATAAACAGCGACTATACAGATGAACCTCGCCAGATGGAATACACAGGAATCAAATTGACTACATCTGTGGAAAGAGATGATGGAAAAGCTTGATAGCATCAGTCAGAACAAGGCCAGGGGCCAACTGCAGAACAGACCATCAATTGTTCATATGCAAGTTGAAATTGAAACTGAAGAAAATTAAAGCAAGTCCACGAGAGCCAAAGTATAACCTTGAGTATATCCCACCTGAATTTAGAGACCATCTCAAGAATAGATTTGACGCACTGAACACTAATGATCAAAGACCAGACGAGTTGTGGAATGACATCAAAGACATCACACATGAAGAAAGCAAGAAGTCATTAAAAAGACAGGAAAGAAAGAAAAGACCAAAATGGATATCAGAAGAGACTCTGAAACTTGCTCTTGAACACTGAGTAGCTAAAGCAAAAGGAAGAAATGATGAAGTAAAAGAACTGAACGGAAGATTTCAAAGGGCAGCTTTAGAAGACAAAGTAAAGTATTATAATGACACATGCAAAGAGCTGGAGATAGAAAACCAAAAGGGAAGAACATGCTCAGCATTCCTCAAGCTGAAAGAACTGAAGAAAAACCTCAAGCCTTGAGTTGCAATAGTGAAGGATTCTGTGGGGAAAATATTAAATGATGAAGGAAGCATCAAAAGAAGATGGAAGGAATACACAGAGTCACTATACCAAAAAGAACTGGTCGACATCCAACCATTTCAGGAGGTAGCACATGATCAAGAACCGATGGTACTGAAGGAAGAAGCCCAAGCTGCACTGAAGGCATTGGTGAAAAACAAGGCTCCAGGAATTGACGAAATATTAATTGAGATGTTTCAACAAACGGATGCAGCACTGGAAGTGCTCACTCATCTATCTATGCCAAGAAATTTGGAAGACAGCTACCTGGCCAACCAACTGGAAGCGATCCACTGTTCCCAAGAAAGGTGATCCAACTGAATGTGGAAATTATTGAACAATACCATTAATATCACACACAAGTAAAATTTTGCTGAAGAGCATTCAAAAGCAGCTGCAGCAGTAGATCGACAGCGAACTGCCAGAAATTCAGGCCAAATTCAGAAGAGGACGTGGAACCAGGGATATCACTGCTGATGTCAGATGGATCCTGGCTGAAAGCAGAGAATACCAGAAAGTTGTTTACCTGTGTTTTATTGACTATGCAAAGGCATTCGACTGTGTGGATCCTAACAAATTATGGGTAACATTGCAAAGAATGGGAATTCCAGAATACTTAATTGTGCTCATGAGGAACCTATACTGAGACCAAGAGACAGTTGTTTGGACAGAACAAGGGGACACTGCGTGGTTTAAAGTCAGGAAAGGTGTGTGTCAGGGTTGTATCCTTTCACCATACCTATTCAATCTGTATGCTGAGCAAATAATCCAACAAGCTGAACTATATGAGGAAGAATGGGGCATCAGGATTGGAGGAAGACTCATTAACAACCTGCCTAATGCAGATAACACAACCTTGCTTGCTAAAAGTAAAGAGGACTTGAAGCAT